AATAAAGACAGAGAGAAAAATAGAGAGACAGAGACAGGTAGTAGTCAGAGAAATAGACAAGTGAGAGAGACAGAAAAAGAGACAGACACACAGTGTACCAGTGGAGCGGAGTCAATGCTGATGCTGCACTCCACCGCTGTCTGGTTAAGAGCCTTGACTTTGAGAAGAGGACGCTCTGGCTGGGTGCCACGGGTCTGGTAGTGTGACAATGTGGTTGGGCTGTCTCCTATACTGGTGTGAGCCCACACAGCCATCTCATACACCGTCCCCGCTGTCAGGTTTGTGGCTGCCAACACAGCAGACTGTTTCAGACGTATTGTAATGGCAACATTAATTGACACTCCTGGTAAAGATGTGGGAAATTTATCTGTTATTGGAGCAGCATCACCTCACACTATAAACTGGAGTGGAATCACAACAGTTCTGTGTAAGAAATGTAAGAAATAGGACAGCTCTTTTCCAGTAATATTTCACAAGGTTGGACAATATAGACAGAGACATTCTTGACCAAATGGTTTATCCATTTCGCTAAGGGGACTGACACACCCATGGAAGACAGTTGATTTTTGTCAGGAGAACTTCTCTAATTTTGCCACATTTTTAACAAAGTCCAGAGAGAAACCAGCCCAGAGAATCATGGATACTCCACTGTTCGTAACAGTAGGCAGTGTTTTTCTATTTGCTCTTTGTTTCATATAAAACCCACCTTACGTATGTTCTGCAATAAAGTCTCACTTGACCCAAAACTCAGCTCCTGGTGAAGTCCCTGTCAAGTTCAGCAAAGTCCACCTGCTTATGTTCGTGATGTTATTAGGCCAAATCCTGGGATGCTAACAAAACTATTGGTTGGATTCTAATGGTTGCTATGGAGACCTGATGACTGCAGGACACCACTCTTTGCTGTATTTCAAAAACAGTTTGATTTGGAAACTATTTCCTTTACATCCAGGTCACTTTACCTAATAGGGAGATAAATGTGGGTCCAAACTCAAGTTGTCATGATCCTAAACTACTGATATATAGAAAAATACTTGATACTAATTTTGATATTGTGGCAACATTTTAAAAAACCAGTTTTTAAAACTCTGATTATTAAAAACTCTACTTTAACTACTACATTATAGCAGTTAAAAGCAAACAATATTAATTATGATATGACAATATTAAGGAGTTTTACTGACCTTTTTAAGTTGCTCTGAAACATGAGTGTAGCATTATTATTGTAGTGTTAGCACAGCTAGTATAATGCATCTTTTGACCTTTCCTTTTTTCCTGTCCATCTATCTCACAGGGAAAGTAACTCCGAACAAAGCTGTTTAGCTGTAAAGAGCTATCTCTTTAGCATAGATCACTCTGTGTCAGTAGTGGGCAGTAATCTAACTCCAATTTTAACTGTTGGTTTCAGTAGAGCATTCTTAAATATACATTTGAAAATAGTCTTGAATGCAATTATTGCATGGTGATTAGCTGTACAGATGGCCTACTCACTTTAACTAAAGTAGCTAATGTTATCATCCATATGTGTTATAATGATAGCACTATTGACAGTGTGCAACAGAAGTATCTACTGCTGCTACTCTAGTAGTACTACAATAGCAAAGTACAGTTACAAAAATTAATACTTAAAATCAATCATTGTATTTACCGATAAATTTATTAAATGTATTTATTAAATAAATTTATTTTAAGCATAAGTTGAATTTATCTGAAGGCTGTTTTGTACCGGACATGCTAATTTCCCTCACAACAAAAAAGAAAGGCAGCACAGAGGAAGATTACCTTTAAACTCTCCCTGGGTGATGTTGTACGTGTGGCTCTCTTTCACATGAGAGTCAAACTGCCAGTACACGATTACAATGTAATATTTGGTCTGAAAAAGAAAAACACACAAGGTCCATGAAACACTGTACCCAGAACCCAGTTCGCTTGTTCAAAACCTGAAGGTAATAAAGAGAAGCGCTTACTTCAGTCTGGGAGCTGAGACTGAATGACATGGAGTCAGAGGAGATGTTGGTAGCTTTCACTACAGGAGGAGGCAGAGCTGCAGTAGACAAAGCATGTATCAGACATGCTCCACTATCAGTCAGATTCTGCTGAGGTGTGAGCTAGCATTGGCTCGTGGTCTACATACAGACCTGAGAAGGATCGTATGGAGTCATAAATGGGACAAGGAGGCAGATTTTATTGGAGCTAAAGACACCACAATCAGAATATTATGTCATGGTACTGTACTTCTGTTGATCTTTATTTAACTATGATAATGAAGGACAACAATAATATTACCAAGCAGCTTTGAATGAACACAGCTATAGATACAAGGCTGTGAGAAAGAATTTGCTCCCAGAGATCGCTTGTTATTTTATTGGCATCTGACAAATAAATCCTGATTTAAATACAAAACGTACTTTTGAATGATCATTTAAATGAATGAAAATTAACCTGATCTTACGTAAAAACATATTTACACCCATCGTTTACTCAAGAATTAGCTGGTAGTAACCACATTGTTTGGCTCAGTTTTTTATTACTAAAAGATCCACAAACGCACTAATAGCAGAGGTAATTTTTGCTTATAGCTTTTGCTCTGTGGGCTGCCACCTTATCATGGTGGAGGGGTTCAAACATCCCAGTAATCCTACAAGCTATGCTGTGTGGGGTTTTATGCCCCTGGTAGGGTCATTCAAGGCAGACAGGTCCTGGATACCAAAGGTCCAACCTTTGGTATCCATCAACCAAAGGTTGATGGATACCTTTGGTGAGATCTGGCAGTCTCCTGTGAGACTTTAATTCCCATCTCTGGCAGACAAAGTGCAACCTGAAGAACCCTTATGACGAGCAATTAAAATGACTATTTAGTGTTCCCTCGCCGGGACGCAGGTTATCGGGATCCCACCCTGGAGCCAGGCTTGGAAGTGGGGCACGTTGGCGAGCGCCTGGTGGCCGGCCTTTTACCCATGGAGCCCAGCCAGGCTCAGCCCAAAGAGGAGACATGGGTCCCCCTTCCCATGGGTTTATCACCTGGGGGAGGGGCCGAAGGGGCCGGGTGCAATGTGGGATGGGTGTTGGCCAGGGGAGGAAACATGGGTCTCCCTTTCCATGGGCTCATCACCTGTGCGAGGGGCCAAAGGGGTCGGGTGCAATGTGAGATGGGTGTTGGTCGGTGGAGGGGTCCCTGGCAATCCCATCCTCAGTTGCAAAAGCTGGCTCTTGGGATGTGGAGTGTCACCTCTCTAGTGGGGAAGGAGCCTGAGTTAGAGAGTGAGGTTGAAAGGTTCTGGCTAGAAATAGTCTGCCTCACCTCAACGCATGGCTCTGGCTCTGGAACCAGTCTCCTTGAGAGGGGCAGGCAGGAGTGGGCATACCACCTTGGTGACTGTACATTGGGGTTTACCCCGTGAACAAGAGGGTAGCCTCCCTTCGCTTAAGGGTGAGGGGACGGGTTCTGACTGTTGTTTGTGCTTACGCACCAAACAACAGTTCAGATTATCCACCCTGTTTTTGGAGTCCTTGGAGGGAGTACTGGAGAGTGCCCCTCCTGTGGACTCCCTTGTTCTGCTGGGGGACTTTAACGCTCATATGGGCAATGACAGCGAGACCTGGAGAGGCGTGGTTGTTAGGAACGGCGCCCCAGAACTCGAGTGGTTCTGCTGTTAGTCTTCTGTGCTCATTGTGGACAATCCATGATGAGCACAGAAGTCCAACAACAGTGCACATATGTTGTTGGACATATGTGCACTGTGCACTTGGCACCAGGACACTCTAGGCTGCAGTTCAATGATCGACTTTGTCGATCATTGTTTCATCTGATCTGCGGCCACATGTGTTGGAGACTCAGGTGAAGAGAGGTGCAGAGCTGTCCACTGATCACTATCTGGTGGTGAGTTGGCTCCGCTGGTGGGGAAGGATGCCGGTCAGACCTGGCAGGCCCAAACATGTTGTGAGGGTCTGCTGGGAAGGTCTGGCAGTCTCCTGTGAGACTTTAATTCCCATCTCCGGCAGAACTTTGAATACATTCTGGAGTATGTGGGGGACATTGAGTCTGAGAGGACCATGTGCCGTGCCTCCATGTCGAGGTGGCTTATCGGAAATTTGGCCGCAAGGTTGTCGGTGCCTGTCGCTGTGGCAACCCTCTAACTTGTTGATGGATACCTTTGGTGAGGGATGCTGTCAGGTTGAAGAAAGAGTCCTATCAGGCCTTTTGGAATGTGGGACTCCAGAAGCAGCTGATGGGTGCCAGCAGTCCAAATGGCATGCGGCTTGGGTGGTTGCTGAGACAAAAACTCCGGCAGAGTTTGGAATGGCCATGGAAAAAAACTTAGGCATGGCTTTGAGGGGATTCTGATACACCATCCGGCGTCTCAGGAGGGGGAAGTATAGTGGTTATAAAACTTTTTAGATAACTTCATCTTCAGTAGACAACATCTACTGGACAACTGTGTGGCAGTCTGACTTTCTACTACCAAGGGCAAAAGCAATCTGAGGTGAACCTAAGGTGCCACGAGTGCTCCAACCAAGGTTTAGCAAACAAATTACTGCTACAACAGAACACTGATCAGCTATGGAAAAGAAGATGGAGTGAACCGAGGTAGAGGCATTACAGTTGGAGATAATAGGACTTTTGTGCACACTGCCTGCAGAAAGCCTAAAAGAACTGTGTGATTTTCTCACCATTGCCAGGTCAAAATTTGAACATGTGACAGGAAAGAACAGAACATCGCTCATCTTAATGATTAGTAATCATCTACAGAGTGAAGAATTCCAGATGTTGGAGGATTTGGGAATGTCAGAGCTTCTCTGCTTTAAAGACAAAATAACTGAGCTCCAAGCTGAGGCTACAGATCAGGAACTTAAAGTAGCACAACACGAACAGCAGAATGAATATGATAAGATACTGGGCAGTACATCAACAGAAACCAGACCTTCTCAGTCTTATGTACCATCCCAAAAAAAACATACTCACGAGGAGGATGTACATAAAGTTCAGACTGATATGTCCAGCCTTGGAATTCCAGCTCTAGCTCTATGTCAAGCCCCTGCTGTATGGCACAAAGAATTCAAAATATCTGGACAAATTGGAGACCCAGAACAAAAAGATTGCCTCACGTTTTCCAGTCTCGCACGACAAATTGAGCATGGTCTCCTGAGACGCCGGATGGTGTATCAGCTTTCCAGAGACTGAGATTGTTGATGCTGTCATAAGGGCCATTATCCCGGGGATGCAGTTGCGGAGCTACCTAGAGGGAAAAAATGACCTTACACTCCCCACCCTGAGAAGAATACTGCGCTGCCATTATCAGGAAAAAAGTGCAACAGAATTATATAAACAGCTGTCATCAGAAGCACAGAGCGTTAAAGAGACTCCTCAGAGTTTTCTCATCCGCACTCTAGACCTACAACAGAAGATTTTGTTTGCATCACAAGAGTCAGACTCAGGCTTCCGTTATGATCCAGTGCTGGTGCAGAACATGTTTCTCCATACAGTTATGACCGGTTTGCTGAATGATAACATAAAAAGAGACCTTCAGCCATCTCTAGAGCAAGCTAGTGTTTCTGATGAACTTTTATTTGAAAAACTAAATATTGCATGTGCCTTTGAAAGTGAGAGGCAGGACAAGAAAAAAATGCACACACCACAGGGATCGGTGACTATCCACTCTGCTCAGTCTGACCACACCCCCACTGAGAAGAAGGACAAAATAAGCCCGTCGAGTCACAGTAAGAGTCAAACAGATATTCTTTCAGAACTGCAGGAGATGGAAGCAAACATGACCCTGCTTAAAGATCTGAAAGCTGAAGTGTCTTCTCTTAAAGAGTCTATGCAGCAGCCCTCTTATCTGCAGAGGCAGCACCCAAACCCAGTACCTGTCAGTATCTGTGTTTTTCCTGTTTTGGTTTTGTTAGTCTTTTTCTTTGTTTTTTGGTTTGAGTTTTATTTCTGTTGGAGCACTGTCACTCTTCTGGGCATCCACTAGGTGCTGCCAGATGCAGAGCCCCTGAGAAGCTGTGGGGGCAACCCCGTGGACACACCTGCAGCTCGTTTGTAGGTTGTGGATTGTAGATATAAGCAGCGGCTGAACGACTTCTCATCGCCTGAGTATTTGCTTACCTCGGTAACATTCGTTCCAGAGAAAGACCCTCTGTGAATTGCTCGTTTCTAACCCCTTGTTGTCTTCCTCGCCCGATGATCCTGTTGTCTCCTCGTTGCCTCCGTGTGATCAGTCAGCCCCGGGATCTGAGTGAGTTTGTGTTCCTCGCTGTTGTGGATTACCTACCTCCTGTGTTGAGGGAAGCCTCAACGCTACTGGTATTACCAGTCAGACGCCATCCCTCGTGTGTTCGCCTTGTCCCCTCATCGTGGGTCCGTCTCCGGTGGATTCCCCTTCAGAATGTTTCGGATCAAGTAATCCAAGTCCGAACCCAACCGGAGAAGGAAAACAACTGGACCAAAGTCGAAATCCGCTCATTCCGCCGCTAACAAACCTGTCCGCTCTCCAACGAAGCTTAATCACCCTGCGCTCTGCTCGATGTTTACTCACCATCAATCCAAGTAAGAAACAATCCGATTAACTCCTGGCACATACACTCCTTCCTCCTCTAACCCTGTTTCTCTCGTTGACAGTAAGACGACCCGGTCATCCAATCCAGTACTCACCCTTTATTCCCTTTCCCTGGATTCAATAAAATTATTATTGTTCATTTAGTCTGACTCTTCTGGTTGTGTTCTTGCATGTGGGTTCGAAAATTGAATACCACCATGACAGTACCAGGACCAGATTGCACACCAGCTCAATCAGTGCCAGCTTACCACAACCCATCACTAGCACACAAGCCTGCAGTACATCATGGTTACCATCAAGCTCCTCCAGTGCAATACAGCTACTTGCAACCCCCTTCAAACACATCACAACTATTTACCTCCACCCTCAGGACAACTTGATCATCTTCCACCCAACCAGAGGTATGGAAATCAACGCCCCCTCTCCACAACAGCCCAGAAGGAGGTGCTACGCCTGCCAGCAGGAAAATTTGGAGGACTGCATTCACTGCTTCCCTTGTGGCAGCAGTGAACACTTCTCAGCTGGCTGCAGGAAGAGGAGATCAGGCCAATTCAGAGGGAGTGCTTTTAACGAGCAAGGGTTACCCCAGTGGGGGCAGGGAGTGACCGCATCATCAGCACAGTGACATGCGGTCAGGGGAGGCAGGTGAGGCACAGCCTCACCTGTCATCATGGAAAAGTAATATATAATAATAAACCATTTATATTGCTATTTTCACCCTGTGGTTTGTACTATAAAGTATCTATTTTTTACTTAGCTTAACCAATTCTGATGATTTTTTCTTCAAAATCTCTGGATTTTCGCATTTTCCCATTCAAATGCTCAGAAGCGAAGCTGGTGAGGCAGCAGGAAGCTGAGCCTCACCTGGGATTGCGCAACCTCTCGCTAACTGCACCGGCTGCCATTCTATGGGTGAATGTTCCTCCTGTCTGTACGCCAGCAATAAAATGGCTAAAAAAACATTTAATATATGGACTGATTTTCCATAATTTCGCTTATGTATATAATGTACAGTTTTTTTGTTGTCACCAACTGTGTGTGTATCGTGTTTTGTGTGCGGAGGAGCGATCAGAAACGGCAGAAAACAGACTCCAGGTGAGGCAGGCAGTTCTCCTGCCTCATGGCAGGGGGCGCTCATGATCCCAGATATTGTGACTCCACAACTGCAGAGACACAGTGAGCTAGCCATGGAGCTAGCCATGGAGCTAGCCATGGAGCTAGCCATGGAGCTAGCCACACAGTAAATAAGTAAAGTACAGCGATATATTTGTTTTCTCCTCTCTTCCGACATAAAC